TATTATAGTTGTTATTTATTGAATTTGTAGATTTGTTAGATGGGTTTCTATAAAGTTAACAACAAATTTCGAAAACTAGTTAAATATAAATTAAAATGTTTTAATGTTATTGTTAAGCAATCATGCAAAAGACACTGAGAGCTGGGAACAAATTATGACTTACAACATTGTAATACTAACTTCAAGTAATGCACTCCAAGTTTAAAGACTATTCAAGCCTCGGGTTTAATTTATTACAACCACATTACTCTAATAAAAGTCTGCTTTAGACAAGTTCAACTGTACTGTTCCCTTGATAGTTGCTCTAAATTCTATTTTTGGAATCGAGCATCCTTTGGTTTTGCCTTGCATTTTGCCCCTGACTGAGTGTTGAACTAAATCAGCCAACCTTCAACCGTTCACCCACTGCATAGTGAACCCAAATAAAACCTTTCGGCCTTGTTTTTTTTTTCGTACGTGCCAGTGAACAATAACATGCAATGTGTTTGATGTCAGGAAATGTGATCTAATAACGATGTTATTACTTCTGCGTGGCACCCACTTGTTTAACTGTGAGATTTATTCTATGGATTAGCATTGCGCTTTAATATTCATTGTATATTTCACACGATAATCACATTCAGGGGGCACCACCCACGAAATCTACCTGCATCCGCATCCGCAGCTATATCTATATCTTTAGCTGGGCAAACACCAATTTCGAGATTATGATTGAGAATGGGTTCGCTGAGACTGCGTCACAATGCGTCACATTTGGGCATTATCTGTATCTTTATCTGGGTTTCTCTCTGCAGTCGTAAAAGGCTTATCGGTTGCTGCTACCGGAGTTTAATGCGGCACGAGGCGGCAAAACATCACATCCAATCCCAAATCTGTCTGCTTAATCACAGCATTAAGTCACCTGAAATTGACTCACATTAGTCCGAATTTAGCGGAGACTGAGGTGTTCAATTAGCCAGCTCGAAAGTTTGTATTTCGGCGTGTGGCGTCGAAAGTTGTTAATCAACTTAGCACAACTTTTGCACACCTTTGTACCTCCCAATAGTATATTGATTTTCTGTGCAACTTTTCAAATGATTCATGGGTAATGAGCGCATAAATTCACTTGCCAATCAGATGCAGTTCCAGACAATTGATTGGGTGACCCATTTTTATCGTCCATTCCAATTTTATTTTTGTACTTTTATCTGGCAAATGTTTGCCTCGGATTTTAGCTCAGTTAACAAATAGAAATAAGCAGCTAAACATGGGCTTAGCACGCTTATAAAATTTATAATTCGCCAAGCGGATAATCATGATATTCAGCGCTTTTTGTATTTTGCGAAGTGAATTTCAAGCAGTCGGCCATGGAGAGTTTTCAGAAGCTTCTAGTCGTGACAGACAGTGGGACAGTGACTGCTGTCATTATATTTATATGCTTATATGGCCTGGAATCGCGTGACGCCACATAATAATCGATCGAACTGCTCGCTCCCCCAAGCAACCCAAACGAAACGAGCTCCACATAATCGCCGCGTCAGTTTTTATATGCGTAGTACTTGAAAAGTCAGAGGCCAGAGAGTAAACAAAACGAAAGGAATCCTAAATAGAACAAGCAATGCGTATAATCCATTTTGCAATCGATCTGAGGTTGAATTGTTTGCTTCGAAGATATCAAATTTCTGAGAAAAATCAAAGGTGCAACAAATATTGACTGCTTTCTTTGATTTATTTTTACTTCTTTGCTGAACTATCATAGGAAATTCAAAGTCTCAATAAAAGGCTTACGAAATAAATAAAAGCTAATTGTTATTATTAGTATCAATATATACATATATAAAATTAAAAATAGAACTACTCTTTGAGGACTATAGACTCTTATTTAAAACGCTTAAACTAGAAGTTACCCTTAAGAATTTAGTGATTCTTAGTTGATTATTTTCAAAATAACCCATATATGTACATATGTATGGTACTAACTCTTTGTTTGTATATTTCCTTTAAGGTACGAGCGTCTATTGCGTCGCGCCCAAGTCGAGGACTTGACGGAGGTCTCGGGCATCGGCTGCCTTTACCAGAGCGGCGTGGACCGCCTGGGTCGGCCTGTGATTGTGTTCTGCGGCAAATGGTTCCCCGCCCAGAATATTGACCTGGAGAAGGTAGTGTTTTTCAGCAATTTTCCCACCCCAATTACTAATTTCCCTTGCTCTTTAGGCCTTGCTATATCTGATTAAGCTACTGGATCCCATCGTTAAAGGAGACTATGTCATCTCGTACTTCCACACGCTGACATCCACAAACAACTATCCCTCGCTGCACTGGCTGCGTGAGGTCTACAGTGTGTTGCCCTACAAGTGAGTATCTTTGTTTTCATTTATCACCCACACTCACTTTCACTAACTTAATCGTATGAGTAATAGGTACAAGAAGAACCTGAAGGCCTTCTACATAGTGCATCCCACGTTCTGGACTAAGATGATGACCTGGTGGTTCACCACCTTCATGGCGCCAGCCATCAAGGCCAAAGTGCATTCGCTTCCTGGCGTGGAGCACCTGTACTCGGCCATCACAAAGGATCAGCTGGAAATTCCCGCCTACATCACCGAGTACGACATGGCGGTAAGTCGGAACTGGCCATGCTTATCTTCTTGCAGTTACTATATAGAGTTTTGTGATACCTTTACAGACCAATGGCCTGCATTACTTCAATCCTGTGCCGACTGCCTCGTAGATGGCGGCCATCGTAGCTGTCTAGGACAGCGGGCAACCACCGTAGCTTATATATACATATATATAGATACACACAGAATTGTGAAGTTTTTATAGATTTTATAGAACGTATTTTGTTTTCTTGATAAGTAATATTTGTTTACTTGCGCATAACTTTCGATGTTGTCGTTTATCGATTGACTTGCCGCAAGTTTTGTTGAACATTGTGTAGCATACTTTTATGGGAATGGCCGAGTCTCCCCATCCCTCAAACCAATTAGCTAAAACATAAATCGGCAGACCCAAAAACCAGATAATTGTGTAAAACATTCTTATGAAATGCATGTAAATTAGTTAATTAGTTGGCATCGGCAGAACAAACCTTGTTAATTCGCTAAAAATAGAAGTTGAACTATTGGTAGGAGATGGACAGGGTGGATGGAGGACTCGTTAACCAGTTAAGATACCAAAAGAAACCAAAAACGTTAGCAATGCTGAACAAAATGAAATTCGATTAGAAACCCTGCATATACGGATATACAAGATTATTCTAAATATTAAATTGATAAATTGATAATTGATTATGGAAGGGAAAAGTATATATGAATAAGTATACATATTGTTAGTTATCTTTGCAATTACAAATTGTATTATTAATGTATTAATACTAGAGCTAAAGCGTATGCAGTTTGATCCCCCGATATATATACACACATACGTACTATAATTCAATTGTATTTATACATAACTATATACTAAATATACACAACTAATAAATTAAAACCAAAACCAGACACGAAGGAGAAGTCAAATCGTAGGGAAGCAAATATTTTGAAGCTCTGAGAAGTGCAGCAATGAGGCTGCGGAACCTTTTGTAGATACTTACTAGAGCTCACCGTAAGGCCCTCCCAGAAATCGAAACACCAATAAAGAACCTAACGAATAACGAGTAATGAATACTGAATACTGAATGTTAAATATTCAACTTTGATATGATCATGTTTAGGCGCCGGAGATTTCCAGCTCGAGACACGTCACCTTTATCTTCCATGCACCGTTTGCGCTCAAAAAACCCAGAATCAAAGCCAATAGCACGCCACTGCTATACGTATATATTTGTAAATGTGAGATATATAGGTATATTGTAATTAGTCGAAACAATTATGGCACTCGCTGGCAGTAATCAGAAATCAGAGCCACTTTAAAACCACTGCGCACCACCAATTGAAGAGCCAAAAGACAGCCACAGCCAACACCAGCAGTTGATTTAGCAACTACGCAATTACATGCAAAGTAAAATGCACTCAGGGATTGATTTAAAACAAAAAACCAAAAATCCAAAACAAAACGAAAACGAAAACCTAAAACTAAAAAAAAAACTAAAAACCAAAACCAAAAGAAGTTTAGATAAACGACAAATGCGCTTTCCTCAAACCACAATCGGCAGCCTGGCTAGTACCTAAAATGAGAAATCAAGTAGCGTTATAGCGAAACACCAAAGTGAAATAGTTTTTGGACATGTTCTTTAAAGTACCTATGCATGTAGTAGGCAGTTCATCCGACAATTATGCCAATTACATATGTATTTTGTATTGCCTCACCAGCAGAATTTAGGAAAAATATTCAGAGTGCTATGGGGAAACTAAATGTCCCCCGTCTAACAATAATCAGAATCACGGCAATTACTCAAATTAGACTACTCAAAAGTTATGCTTGTATGAAAACCACCTTACAGGAGTACAACAATCGGGGTACACATATGGTGTACCCATCTATGGCTTACTCAACTGTTATTGAAAATTTAAAAAGTAATGTTACAAAACAGAATCCCAAATCCCAAATCGAGAATCCAAGTTATGCCAAGTGTTCCTTTCTAAAAAGTATATATTTAGACGAATACTTTTCGTAATATTTGAATATATGTAGGTAAATCTTAAAGCCAACTACAAGTAACTAGTAATCTCATTAAATCTTAATATTTCCCCGAATTTCCCCTTCTTATATTGCAATTGCTTTAGCGTTAAACAATTCAAACAATACAAAACTGAAAAAGCTAATACAAATTTAATGAAAACTGATTTGTTGCTAAATTAATGAAATTGTACCTTTGAAACGAACTCTGCGATCGATTCTTTCCTAGCGTAGCACAAATTCCTTATAGTTGTTAAGGTCGTCGTGGCACAAATCCGAAACTAAGTTAAGTTTTTCCAAAAATTTGAGAATCCAGCTCCTTGTTCTTTTTGTATATATAAGTACATACAAGGTAACAAATTTAATTGGTAATTAATAAAAGGAAAAAACAAAACATACGCTTTCGTTAAAAACAATCAATGATCTGTTATTTGTTGCGGTTAAAAAAGATTCCTAAATCCTACTATAAATCACATAGTCTGAGGCATTTTTTGCAGTTACTGTATAACCAGTTTGCTCTGCTGGGAGTTTGGTATGTACTCCTCTTTGTACTGATCGAACATCTTCTCCAGCGCCGCCATCACCTGTCCATGGATCTCGTCCACATAGACGGCATCGGGACTATCGCTTTTCACCACATCGATGGGGGAACCCACTGTAATAGATGGGGTATTAAATGGTTTAGGACTGGAAATGGAATCTGGGACTCACCAACTTGGACAATACGCCGGCGATGGGGCAGCATCCCATAGTTGTAGGTAAAGATGCCGCGACCCTTGGGGAGAAGCGGTGAAATTCCTGTGCACTTTTTGACCACATTTTGAAAGCGGCGGAGCAGGGAGTCCGGAGGATTTGCCACCTGATCGAAAATGTCCACTTCGCCAAAGGAAAACGAGGGCACTATAGATGAGCTATAAATAGAGAGATATTTTCATAATTTTTCTTTGTTTTTTCAACTAACTACTCACCCCGTTCGAATGGCCATTTTGACGAAACCCTTTCTGTTCTTCAAGGTCAAAATGTACTGTCCAGGATGCGAGTCCATAGCCTCCTGGGCTCCACCAACCAGAACAGCCACCGCATTGGATGTGAAACCATCGCGATTGTCTTTGTGCCCGGGATCATTTGATTTGCTCAGTAAATAGACCAGTGACTCCTTGGAAACCGACACCATGCCCCACCAACGCACTATGTCACGTACAAGGGGGGTCTTGAAGTGATGATCCAGGGTGCCTATCTTGGGTCGAACTTGGGGAAACAGCTCCAGCCAATTTGTGATGTCCATGCCCATGTTAACACAAGTTCCAGTTCTTGGGAAGGACCGTAAATAAGATAAGATATAGTGAACTGATGAACTGATCCTTAATTCGCCTACCCCAGAATTCCGTGAGGAAAGCTCGCCACAATATAATTTTTGGTTGCCGGCAGCTCAGCGGTTTTGACAAGTTCGACGGGAAAGTAGCTCCGATATTTCCGAACACTGCGGTAAAATAACCAGCTATTGGAAATTCATACGGTGATTATCTCTTGAATTGTTGGCCTATTTTATTTTCAGCACTTACCCATTGCCCTCCATGATGCCAAAGTTCCTCTTGTAATCGAAATAAATTATTACAAAATATACTAAAATTATACTGCGCAGAAAGAGTCCACAATAATACTAAATAAAATAAAAATGTTTATAAGAATTTATCAAATAATGTATAAATATATAAAGAAATGGTTTAGATATTAAAATTGGTACCAATTATTTTTTGTTTGTTTATGTACGTTTCAGCCACAAATATATTGAATCCAAGGGAGTAAATAGAGGTTTACAATGGAGAACACAAGAGTTCACTCTTTTTATTTACACTGTGATCCCTTGTAGTTAGTCTTTTATGCCCATGAATACTAAACCTCTGGCATTCTAGCTCTCAACAGTTTAAACTAAAAAATTGAATATGTTAAGATTACCAGCAGGATAGCAACTGTGAGGCAGGATAATATGGGCAGCGTAAAGAATATGCAGGTGAAGAAAGTCACGACTAGAGTCTGGAGACGGCGAGCCAGAGGAACTCGAACAGGAGCCCATTCGATTTTCATGTTGAAATCAACCGATCTTCCACGCAAAGTAGCGACTCTTTCGACGAATTCCCAGCGACTGAGCGATCGCCCAGCTGCACCGAACCAATCCCAGGGTGTAACAGTTGTACTTATCCTTATCAATGCGACCCTTCTCTGCGGGGCAATCCGTAAACCGTAAGAGAGACGTAAGAGTCGTTAAAAGTTTGAGAGCCTCACTCGACTGATAAGTCATTGAAAATTACTTTAGTCCTGACACTAGACATTTCAAGTTATGTAAGTAGGATTACGTCACTGTGCAGAGATGCTCTGCAAAGAGCCCGTTTTATCTATGCATATATATACAGAAATTAGAACAAAATCAGTCCAATAACCTAAAATTAATAGTTAGTTTGAGTGGCTGTAAATTTTGATTAGTTAGTTTCTTATCTGTGAATGCTGAATCACATATACTGCGGGTGCTGGTACTATTCCAATGTTTATATTCGTATGCCGGCAACAGTCATTACTATCTCGAAAAATTCTTGACCTTTACTCATAGAACATTACGTTTAAGTCACACATTTTAGCGGTGGTTCGCAACAGTCAAAATACAATACATAATTGTGCGTGCCCCAACAGTGAGTTCTTCGATAAGAGTTTTAGGTTTTTTTTTGTCGTATTTTCAAAGCAGATCTGTGTCGTCCTTATCAGGCGAATGTCTCGTTCAAACAAGAGCTGATTCACGCAGTCGCTTTACATTGAACTGGAATATGGTGGCTATTATGACCACGCATATTTCCTTTCTTGAGCTAAACTATTTCATAAGCTGCTTCTCGAATTGCATACAACATAAATTTAACTTGTGGAATGCACTAATGAGCCAGTTTCTCACAATGGGGCGTTTTAGCCTCTTGAACCGACATATCTAAAATATAAAAAATACCGATTGTTAAAGTGAAATTTATATTAATTCTTAATAATATTTAAGATGTATTTAATATATTATATTGCATTCTTGAGAAAATTTTTTTCTCAACCAAAACTGCAGTTGGTATAGCTCAAACTAATATTAATTATATTGGCTAATTAGTTTTTTAATTACTGAAACACCAGTTTCGCACTCTTTGGGTTCTGTAAATATTTGTCCTTGCACTGATCGAACAATTTCTCCAGAGCCTCAATAACCTGTCCATGCACTTTGTCCACATACTCTGGATCGGGCTGATCGCTCTGCACAACATCAATGGGAGAGCCAACTAGGGAGGTCAGATATTGTAAATATTCTTCTATTAACACAATAGAAGAAGTACTCACCAACTTGGACAATGCGTCGTCGGAATGGCAGAAAGCCAAAGGTGTAGTTGAAGAAACCTCGACCCACTGGAATCAGCGGAGAAACGCCGGTAAGTTTCTTCACCACATTCTGTACGCGACGGAGTAAGGAGTCCGGAGGATTAGCCACCTGATCGAAAATGTCCACCTCGCCGAAGGAAAACGAGGGTACAATCGATGAACTGGAACCAGAGGGCTATAAGTAGGGTTACTTCAAAATTTCGCAACTCTTGCTCACCCCGTTCGAATGGCAAGTCTTACGAAACCCTTCCTATTCTTCAGTGTCAAAATGTACTCTCCAGGGTGGGAATCCATTGTCTCCTGCGCCCCACCCACCAGTATGGCCACCGCGTTTGATGTAAATCCATCGCCATTATCCTTGTGCTTGGGATCGTTCGACTTGCTGAGCATGCGGATCAAGGCCTCCTTGGATACGGACACCAAGCCCCAGCAACGCAGGACCTCTCGCATAAAGGGCACGTGAAAGTGCTGGTCGAGAGTGCCCACCTTGGGTCTTACTTGGGGGAACAGCTCCAGCCACTTGGAGATTTCCACGCCCATGTTAATTCCTATGCCCGTTCTACAACCCAAATCAGTGTCTATTTATATTGAACGATTAGATTGCCTATCTGTCAATGTACTTACCCCAGAATTCCGTGGGGAAAGCTGGCCAAGATGTAGTTCTTGTTCGCTGGCAGTTCGGCAGTTTTCACCAACTCCACGGGAAAGTAGTCGCGATAGTGGCGATGTAAACGGTTGGTGCGGGTTATCATCCAGCTTGGAGAGGTATGTGTGTGTGTGTTACTAAATTATCTTTCATGGAACTGTGTTTACTTTTTCACTTACCCATTGCCATCCACCACAGATTGGGTATTCTTGTGATGCACATAGACATAAGCCAAGTAAATGAGCATTAAGCTACGCAGAAGTAGACCTCCATAAATCTAAAAAAGAGAACATGACTTTTAAAGGTTATTTTTTAGTTTTAGAACTAATTTCTTACCAGCGAACCAGCTACTAACAGAAACGAAACAGATAATAATATCAGGAGCATGGAGGTGAAAAAGGCAGTAACTAGAATCTGCATTCGGCGCTCCAGAGGAACTCGAAGAGGTGCCCATTCGATCTTCATGTTTGCTCCGATTCCACTAATGTCCAATTATTCCAGCAACTGTTGTTTCGGAGGTTCTCCCACGACTGAATGATATGAAAACCAGCGACGGTCAATTTGCCCAGTATCGAACTTATACTAATCCTTATCGGTTTGAGGTTTGACGGCGGGTGCCCGCATTAGCAGCTAATCAAAAACCAACTTACCAGTGGGTCTTGCTTGGGGCCGATCGGAATTCACGATTGGAGAGATAAAGATGATAAACGTTGACTTACAATCGTAGACTGGTAATCACAGTTCTCGGTACAAAGGTGTGAGGCGGTTGCTGAAATATTACCCACTTCTGACTTTAAGAGCATTATGATCGAATTAACGCTCTATGTTCGGGGTAGTATTTCATCTGACTAAGCAATGTGATAAGAAAAGCTATTTGTATACTAGATCCTATGAAGTGTTAAGAAGATTAAGAATTATACTAAACTAATAGTAGCAATGTGAAATAATTTCCTATTCTAGGAATGTACTATGAAAGCTACTAGAGAGTGTAACGAGTGCAACATCTGTAGACCAGTTTTACCAGCGCTATTGAATCTCTGTAAAAAACCAGCTTAACATTCGTTGTAAAGATATTTCATGTATTTCTTTCAGCCAATGCTTTACTGCCACACTTATCAATCAATTATTCTATATGGAATTAAAGGGGCTAACCAGTATGACACTTTTAAAAATTGATTCCTTTAAATTTAATTGAATATTTATCGTTAGACAGTACTCTAGTATAAACTGTGAATGTATTCCCATACAATGACCCAGGAACTTTTTTATTGGTTAAAAATGTCCATCTGTGTATTACAAAAAATACTATTTTTTAAACCCAACAAATTTTTTCAATTCTACGTTAGTTTGTTTCTTTTTGATATTTTTTAAGATTGTTGGTGTAGGAGATTCGTTGTACTTCAATAATATTTTTGATTTTTGTTGTTTAAAATACTTATTAGGCCGGAAAAATGGCACCACAAACACCGCATGGCTTCGTTAAGAAATCATTAAAAGTTTTGTTATAATATAACCCCCTATATAAAACATTCTATAAATTTTGCATAAGTTACACTGGTATAGCCCCTTAATTTGACCACTAATACATGTTGATCGCTGATCAACACTAAAAGCTTTTGAATCGACGTATAGTAAGCTAAACAAAGCTTTTCAAAGCTGCCAATCGACATTGCCTTATTTAAACATTCGAGCCCTACCTACAGTTAGAAAAAGCTTTGACAGCCGAAATAAAATTAAAAATAAAATTAACTTATAAGATAGGTAAATTGGTTTTTATTAAATGCTTATAAAGCATTATTTTGATCGTATTTGTTAGAAAAATATTAACAATTGTTTTAACTACTAGTGAATGATTAGCTTTTTCTGTTTCACGTTTGGAATGTATTGAGCTTTGTACTTAGCAAACATCTTCTCCAGATCGTCGATGACCTGTTGGTGAATCTTATCCACATATGCAGCGTCCGGCTGATCGGATTTTATCACATCGATGGGGGCTCCAACTGAAAACATTTTAACATTCATTGAACAATTGGAAGTTAGAAAAATCTTGAGATCTTGACTTACCAACTTGAACAATACGTCTACGGTTGGGTAGGATGCCAAAAGTGTAGTTGAAGATGCCACGACCCACAGGAATCATCGGGGAAATTCCCGTAAACTTCTTCACAAAATCTTGGAAGCGACGAACCGCGGAGTTGGGGGGGTTAGCCACTTGATCGATAATGTCCACCTCGCCGAAGGAAAATGTGGGCACAATCGATGAACTATAACAAAAAAAATGTATAATATTTTTACAAACTTGTCCAGCTCTTTACTTACCCCGTTCGAATGGCCATTTTCACGAAACCCTTGCGATCCTTGAGGGTTAAGATGTATTTTCCAGGGTGCGAGTCCAGTGCCTCCTGGGCACCACCAACCAGAATGGCCACCGCGTTGGAAGTGAAGCCGTCGCGATTGTCTTTGTGCTTGGGATCGTTCGACTTGGTTAGCAAATATACCAAAGCCTCTTTGGACACGGAAACCAAGCCCCATGCTCGCAAGAGTCCACGCCCAATGGGTGTCAGGAAGTTCTGATCCAATGTAGCCACCTTGGGCCTGACTTGCGGGAAGAGTTCCAACCACTTGGAGATGTCAAGACCCATGTTGATGGAAATGCCAGTCCTATCGGGGGTTTCAATATTAACATAAGTATGTAAGATAAGATTGGCTTTCAGTCAGTGGGCTTACCCCAGAATTCCGTGGGGAAAGCTGGCCAAAATGTAGTTTTTATTCGGGGGTAGCTCAGCGGTTTTGACTAGCTGCACGGGAAAGTAGTCCCGATAGTGCCGAAACAGCCAGTTATTGCGGATAATCGTCCACCTAAGATAGATTGCATTAAGTGGTTTTTATAAGCTACTTGTCAGGCGTTCATACCCGTTGCCGTCCATAATCGAGTGGGTTCTTCTGTGATCCACATAGACGTATACCAAGTAAATGATCACCAAGGTGCGCCACAAAAGACTACCATAGATCTAAAGGCAAAAGGCTTTGCTGTAGTAAGCATTCCTGAATATATGATATTATTATATTTACCAGCAGGGCAGCAACAAGAATATAGGATCCTAGGGAAACTGTCAGGCAGAAAAAGATTAGGAATGCCATGGCAAACGTCTGACGACGCCGCTCCATGGGAACTCCAATGGGAGCCCACTCGATTTTCATGCTGCCAGCTTTGCACTCAAAAACTTCACGGATCGAACTATTGGACGGCCCTCCAGCGACTGAATAATGTCCAATGTTTAGAAACCTTTTCTGGTTCTTATCAGTGTCCGTCGATGGCGCGGGTTCGTGGCTATCGGTAACAATTGTTAAAAATACCACCGACTTAATGGCATTTGCTTGGGGTGTTTAAAAATTCGAACAATCAAGATAATAACTTGCTTTATATATATACGTCTGTCTGCACTGGCGATATAGTCTTATCATTGCCAACAACCGGCATTTTAAAAGTTTGCTTCATCATCATCAAGCTCGTATTTACGTTTATTTATTACAGATTTTAAAAGTTAATTACCACTGGTTGGCCAATTATTAGAACATTGAAACGTCATTAGATTAGAGATAAACTTGATACAAAACTACAACCAAGTTAAATCGACTTGTTTTGCTAATACTAATACCAAAATAAACAAATATTTCATTTCAATTTATTAATCCATCCACAACGTATTTCTTTTGTTTAAATACGGTTTAAATAATATTTTTATTTTCCAAGTTATCTAAACTATAGCGACCTCATGTATGTCTATAATATTTATATATACTAATATTGTTTATTTTTGGAGACACTCAATTGTTTACACACGTAATGGATTCTTATCGCATTTTAAGAGCAGAACCGACGACGCGAGCGTACAATATTTAACTAAGCCAACCCACTCGGGGCTTTCAAAAGTCAGAGAGCAATGCACGACATTCCCATATGTGTATTGCGAATACTAGCATGCAATGCAACAATCGAGTCACCGAAGTATTTTCGGGTTCTATACGATATAAACTGAGACAGAGGCAGCTAAGGTCATGTGCATTTGTATATGCAGTTGCAGGGGTATATTGCATTTGAATACCTGTTCAAAGCTAGCACTTACTCTGCTCTAATTAAAAAAACGCAAGGAAAACGGCTTATGTAAAACTCGCAATACAATGTGAGCAAAATTAGCAAAGAGTATTAAGTTTGAATGTTGGCGCCCACGACATTAGGGATGGAAAATACTTAAGCATTGACCCAAATTTCATTCTTTGTTATCGATTTGTTCAAAATTCAACAAAGGGAGTATTCAGCAGAACAACATCATCACTGATCACTGAAGTAATCAGTGATCAAGTTTGTTCTGCTAAACGCTTTTGAAACATTACGCATTAATTAATTCATTTTTGCTTGTTTGGTTTGTTTTTTTTATTTTTGTTTTGTTTACATTCTGATTTTTCTGTTTGTTCTTAACGATATTTTCACCATTGACATAAGCTAGCAAATATGTATCATGTATCAAGAAAAGGTATTGTACTATTATTACTCTCCTTTTTTGCTGATCATAATGGAAGAATTTTTGCGACATGATCAGTGATCACACGCATTCAGCAGAACTACCGTAAGAAATCCATAAGTGATCAGTGATCATGTTATTTTACTGAATACGACCAAAGTTTCAATGAACAATTAAATTGGGACTATCGATTCATTTTCAAAGATTTACACAAGATAGCTAACCCTGTGCTATGTGTGTCTAATCGTACACCACCAATTTTTGTCTGTCATTAACCTTTAATTTAAGCTTCGCTGAGTTGAACTGAGTTTTTTAAAACGAAATTTGCCGATAGGATTTCATTCTTTCTTTCATTTACACAAATTTGTTGACGTACGTTATAGGATTGGCTAAGGGTGATTAGGCTTAGACGATTTAGAAAAGGCAAAAAAAGTTTCAAGATGAAATGAAAGTATTACTGAACCAGGATGGTTATCAAACGCAAAAAGATATTGCGAAACTTGGGTGCCAATTGCACTGAACCCATGAAATGAAAAATGGATTGATTACCACAACCCGCCAAATCAACTGCGAAGCCGATGATTCATGGTACGGAGGTAATGCTCTGTATTTGGAGGGACTAAAACGGTGTAGGATATTACGAATTTTTGTAATCGGGTGAGACGATCACAGCGGACCTCCACCGACAACATTAGATCCGTTCAAAAAAAGCCAGAAGAAGCGAGAATGGCCGACAAGATTTACCTTTCTCGCCATTTAGTCCAGACACTGTTTCTTCTGATTTCCATTTATTTAGATTGATGCAGAACGCCCTAACCGGAATACGTTTCACTTCGAGACAAGGTATCAAATATTGGCTTGATTCGATCTTGGACTCAAAAGATGAGCAGCTTTTTTGGCAAAGAATCCATATACTACCAGAACAATAAATATAATATCATATATTGTATTCACTATTTCGAATAAAGTATCAGTACATTTTCTTCTTCAAATATAGCTTTATTTTACTGAAAAATCCTTTAAAATGTATCGATAGTCCCATTATAAGAACAAACAATTATGAAATTAAAAAAAACAACTATTTTCTTCTCTATGGTATTACCCGTGTAACTTGAACCCTGGGGAATGCCAGCAAATTGCCCAATCCTCCTTGGGGCTACGATGACGACGTGCCAATCCGATTTTTGCATTTCAAATGTCGCCCCGCTCCATCTGCTCCAATGCAATGAAGAAGTGAAAAACATATCAAAACAAAATAGCGCAAATTATATTCAGCGAGTCCACCGTTGTTTATCATTCCTTTTTCGTAGTTCTCCTCTGTCGCATTTTGGGCCTCAGTGTGCCAAGATAATCCGTGAGCAGTGGTTGTTGTGGATCTCTAATATCGGGCTCTTCAGGAATAACTATTTTAAATATTTTGTGTATTTTACTAATTGTGTAATTTTGTATACGTTAATGAGTGGAGAATTAATGGGTGAAGCAAAGTGCATGGCAAAAGTGCAATAAACCCAAGGCACGCTTTTAACAAATATATTTTGCTTTCCAATACGCACACAACGATAGACTGAAGAAGTTGATTTGGAAGTAAAACAAAGAAAAATGCTGATTTTCTATGCGAAATACGCGTTTCTCTTTTGGTTTTTCGTGGGAAGCAATCAAGGTGAAATTCTGCTGATGGACCAAGTCACCCACGATGAGATGCTGCTCAATGTGACCGCCTGCACCCAGAACTGTCTGGAAAAGGGCACCAAAGTAGGTGTCCCCAAGTGTGTATTATGCGCATTAACATTGTAATTTAAATTAAAAGGACACAAATTGATAGGATGGGAGCAGAGCTTTCAATTTCTACAGAATTCTAATATTCGGCAGGAGCTATGAAACTAGTCAACAAATTATTGCTAAACTATATTATCCTTTCCCATAACAGGACTTTCGGGGATGCTTCAAGGACTGCAAAGTTAATGGAACCGCTCCTGGAGCCCTGCGCAAAGTGCAGGATAACTTCCAAATGGAGATGCTTTGTCGCACGGAGTCGGAGTTAGTTTTCCAAATAGACTGGGTTCAGCACAGCAGGGGAAATGGGTCGGCTCCAAATGTCACATACATCATCAAGGTGAATGCTGTCAAGGAGGACATTACAGGGGCCAAACTCTACTTGGTAAGAAACACTTGCCCTTAATGGTGGTAACATCTTTTACATCACAATACTTCGATTCTAATCATTTCTCATGGTGATTTCAGTCCGATGAGAACATTCTTATCCTGCCGGGCTTGGAGTCCAACTGCAGCCACAACATCACCGCTCTGGCGGTGCACGGGGATGGGAGCTACTCGCTGATAGCCAAGGAGCAGAGCTTCGCCACCCTCATACGGGGATATCAACCCAGCAAAATGGGAGCCGTGAGTCTGCTGCGATTTGTCCCACAGCCAGATGACCTGCACCACATTGCTGCCGAGATTGAGTGGGAGCCTTCGGCGGGTGAGTCTCTTCATCCGGGGAACACTGCCTCGACCTTCCCTGAGCTTTTGCTATTCCAGAGCGCAACTGCTTCTTTGACATGGTGTCCTATTCAACCAACAGCGTGAACTTGGGCGATCCGAAAGAGGTTTGGTTCCGCGATGTGAGTGCTTAAAAACCATTCTTTGCCTAGGAAAATAATGTAGACTCAATCTCAACCTTCTATTCCAGCAAAAGAAGCTGTACAAGCACACACTGCACAACTTGGAGTTCGACAAACACTATCTGGTGGGTGTGAAAACGGTCAACAAATTGAATGGTCTGGAGAGCGCTTTGCAATGGCTGACGGTGATCGCTCCCAGCTGCTTGGATTGGCATCCCTTCAACTACACACTATGCGGTGAGTTACGAGAATGTTCCATGGTCACTTAATTTCATATAACTCTTTGATAGCTCCCTACAAGCCGGAGAATCTGAGTGTGATGCAGGAGCAGTATCTGCCGAATACCTTGGCTCTGAATATCAGCTGGGCGCGACCCAGTCACCTCCCAGATAGCTACACACTCCGCATCTTTGATCTGTTCAAGGGAAGCAAGGAGGTAAACTTCACCCTCCACCAGAACAGCAGCCACTTCTTCGTACCCAAGATCACGGTGCTGGGCTCCCGTTTCGAGGTTCATTTGGTGGCACAATCGACTGGCGGCAAGAACGCCACCGATTTGACCTTGGACAAAATTCCGCGGGAAGTCTGGCTGAGTGGTAAGTGTAGGAAGGAATGAACTACCAGCAACATTCCCTGTTTTATCTCATATAATTTTTAATCTATTAATCCATTATTTTGATTCCCCATCTGAACCAGAGGGAAATCTGGTCAAACTGGTGCTCTTCATTATTGTGCCCATATGCTGCATTTTCATGCTGTGCTCCCTGACCTTCTGCAGACGGAATCGGACGGATGCCCACGCCTTGCAGTTGGAAGCCAAGGATGCCAAGGCCACTGACTTCCACCTCTCGCTGATGGACAGCAGCGGCCTGCTGGTCACCCTGTCGGCCAACGAGAGCCTGGAACTAATGGACGAGCTGGAGGTCGAGCCCCACTCGGTGCTCCTCCAAGATGTCCTGGGCGAGGGCGCCTTCGGTTTGGTGCGTCGCGGAATCTACAAGAAGCGCCAAGTGGCCGTCAAATTGCTGAAAGGTAACCTTACCAAGGAAATGGTTCCCTATCGATGATGTAATTTTGATTCCACAGATGAGCCCAATGAAGAGGATGTGTATGCGTTCAAGTGCGAGATACAGATGCTCAAAGCCGTGGGCAAGCACCCAAATATCGTGGGAATCGTTGGATACTCCACCCGCTTCAGCAACCGAATGATGTTGCTAATTGAGTATTGCAGCCTTGGAAGTCTGCAGAGTTTCTTACGGTAAGTAGTTCGTTCTAAAAATATTGGGACACTAATTCAATCTAATGTGCTCCAACTTAGTGAGGAGTGGAAGATCCGGCAGGAGCAGTGTGCCGTTGGCCTCAAGAAGAACCTTGGGCAGAGTGTAGACAAACGACGGCTCCACCGACCCACCCGCAGTCCCATCCATGCTCTCATTGAGGACATCAACAGCTCCATGCTGTCCACTGTGGAGGAGGAGAGTGAAACGGATCGCACACAGACAAGCGGTCGGGTGGAGACCTACACCCTCACGCGAGTCACCAATGCAGCAGACAACAAGGGTTATGGACTGGAGGATATTGAAAACATCGGAGGTAGTCATGTTCCAATGGTCTTAGAGGATTGTAAGAAGGAGTCAAAACAGGAGCTAAAACCGGAGCTGAAGAAAGAGCCGGAACAGCAGGACTCCAAGTTCGAAGGCAAGAAGCGAACCTTCGAGAACAAGGAGTATTTTGATTGCCTAGACTCAGCGCATTCCGAGCCAAGAGTGCCACTAAAATACGCAGATTTGCTGGACATTGCCCAACAGGTGGCGGTGGGAATGGTGAGACACTTCCATGAGCTCCAAATTTAGAGCTAAAAACGTAAATTACGGTTACAGGAGTACCTGGCCCAGAACAAAGTCGTGCATCGGGATCTGGCCGCTCGTAATGTGCTGATCTCCCTAGATCGCAGCATTAAGATTGCGGATTTTGGGTGGGTAATCTCTTGAAACTCCGTTGCCCTTCAAATCATTTCTGCTTCTGTTAAAGCCTAAGTCGGGATGTCTACCATGAGAACGTGTACCGAAAGTCCGGAGGAAGTGGCAAGCTGCCCATTAAGTGGCTGGCCCTGGAATCCCTCACCCACCAGGTGTACACCAGCCAGAGCGATGTGTAAGGACTTGTGGGACTTGCTTCCGAATCATCCCCTCACCTGATCTCTTACTCTTCCAGCTGGTCCTTTGGGGTGCTGCTCTATGAGATCACCACGCTCGGCGGAATGCCGTATCCCTCGGTTTCTCCCAGTGATCTCCTGCAGCTGCTGCGACAAGGTCACCGGATGAAGCAACCTGAGGGATGTACTGACGAAATGTGGGTAAAATAATCTCTACGTTTTGTACATTCGTTGAAAAAGTCTACGTAACTTAGGTTCACTTTGATGAAGAGTTGCTGGAGTTCCGTGCCCTCACACAGACCCACATTTTCCGGACTGAAACAAAGACTTGGAGCAATGATTTCGGCAGAAAACGATGTGCCGGAACGGCTAAAGCAACTGCATGCTGCAAATGAAACAAAAGTAAAGTCCAGTGACAATCTCCACAGGTAAGATAATTTGCTAGAAAAAATGAATATTTAAACTATTCTAAATTCCTCGATTTCAGTCAAGTGGAGCAACTGCCCTGTGAGGAGGCGCCATACTTGGAGCCCTTAAATTAATCTCCTTTAGTTATAGAAGATAAAGATTGAGTGCAATACTAGATTGTTGGAGAAAAAATGTTACCATAGAATTCTAGTTTCCAATTCAGACAACGCTGACAAGCAGACAACACATTTCTACTTGCAAATAAACATTAAAGATAGGTCTAAGAATATAACCCTGGCGAATCTAAGATCTAGTCGGTGTGGGACTTTGATATTTTTCAGATTTGATTCGAATTCGGCGAATTAGCTAAATATAATACCAAAACTAATTTTCAAATAGAAAAGAATCAAACTTCAACAAGGCGAGGCTGTTACCGATTTTTATGCGTAAACGTTAAAATATTTTTCACTTAATTTTTTGATCGTTCCTATGACAGCTATATGATATCGTTCTCCAATAAAACTAGTTAACAAAATTTTAAATCGTTGAAATCCTCCAGAAATTAAACCTTGATTTTCCGGTGCAGATGGACTTCCTCATTCCAAAAATGACACTCAAAATCGATGGTTTATTTCACAAAAAAATAAATCATTTTTCAACTTTATTATACACGCTATAAAGAAAGGTTTCCTTAAACTGAAGTTCCGACAACATAAATTAATTCTTAAAAAGTACACACCTGAAAAACGAAAATAATTTGATAACATTATGGTGATGATGGAAAATTCACACGAATCAAGCAATTAACCCCAACATTCCGCCGGTTAATCTATTTTACACGACTTATATAAACCTGCAATTAGAAGAAGACTTTTTTGAAAGCTTCGTTCAGATAGCTTTAAAACTGAGAGACAAGTTTGCGTACAAACAGGCGATCGGACGGAAATGGTTAGATCTACTCTCCTAGTGATACTGATATATAGTGTATAATATAGAATATACTTATACATATAATACGGCAATGTCTCCTACCCTGATTTGCCAACTTTTAGCTAGAGTTTTAATACCAAGGCAAGGGTATAAAAATCCTTTAACTACAACTTATGCTATGCACTTGTTGTCACTGATGAAAACCGATGATTTTTGACAGTTTTTCGTCAAAACCACAATTCTTTGGCCGCGCTTTGTCACCTCAACATGTTTGCTCACAACTGTGGTAATATAGGCTACGATAGGATCTGGTTCGTTTGGACATTAGGACGTTTAATCGTCATCAGCCTTGACAATTCGAAATTGAAAGTAATTCCAAGCTGGCTAGTTCACAGTGCAATCCTAATCCTGACCTCCTCCATCGATGTGCATCCACTGCTGCCGCCTGCGCCGGACACCATGTCCGCCGATTCCGTACAGCTGTCCCCACTGTCCGGTGCGCACCATCTCCAGCTGCTGTCCCCTGGGCAGTCGTCCCCTTGCCGATAACCCCTTCATGAAGGACACCTTGTCACCTCGGTGGCTGGAGGTGAACCGTCGGGTCATTTACGCCCTGGCCAACAAATTGGAGCGGTCCCCAGAAGCAGCTCACTACATGTTGTTACGCATGCTGTATGCCAACTATGGAAAAGTGATGATGATATCCAAAAAACGCAAAAGTTTCAAAGTGCCGTTGAGCGGCTTTCCGTATCAGGATCTCTTCTCCTCCAGCGACCTTTTCGATGGTAATGGGTACTTGTCCAATCCCATGGCTCCAGAGACCCTGGCAAAGCTGCTCCGCATGATGCAGGACTATATCTTTCGGCTGAGAGCGCTTAATCTCAAGTACAAGTGGTTCGAGAATGGCGACGACCTCAGTGACATACTGCACCTGTTGGGGGAACAAGATGAACTGGTGAGACTGTTAAGGGGACTTTTTGGGGACAGCGATGTGGTGCCCATTCCAAAACTTCTTAGAGCTCTCAACGAGCTGGAGTTCAGTAATTTATTCGGCAAATGGAAGAAGCAATCCAAACCGTGGTTAGTGAGAAGTATATCCGATCTCTATTCGGAAGTGACGGAACCCAAGAAATCAATAATGATATCACCAGTCGCTAAATGCACTAGATTTGGTTCCCCGCAATCAGTTCAGAGTTCAGATACCAGTGCTCTGGGACCAACCCATTCGACAAATAGAAGACCCACACCCACAACCAATCTTCGGCGATGCGGAGTTCCGGGACAAGCAACAACAAAATCAAGAGGACCAACCAATAGGCCCAAGGAAATCTTAGAATTTGGATCTAATAAGCCAATGAATAGGACAGCCGAACCAAATATATATTAGAATATATTGTAACGTATATTAAAATATTATTTGGACCAGCCGCCCAATTCATTCATTCCCTTGGAATAAATGTTTGGACTATTTTTGTTATAGATTTTGTCTAAACACAATGGTTATTATGAATCAATATAACACATTCTGCATGTTATTCTTTGAGGAAATTCACAATTTAAATATCATAATGATTCAACTAAAGCTAAGTGCGACCAGAATAATTGTTTAGCTGGTTTCACCTTCAACTTATATATATAAACCCTCTATTTCCGTACATTTCCGTACATATCTATGAATAATCACTTGAGCGTTAAAATTGCAACCTTAACAGCACCAAGGTCATGTGCGCAATAAGTCATCGGTCGGACAAAGCAAACCGTTCAGAAAACTAGATACGTTAATATGATTAACAAATAAACAAGTACAAACTCCAAATGTGGATGGGTTTCCCGCTCTTTTTATTTGCAGATTCAGGCTGCGAATGTGAGAAAATAGAAAATATAGGTATAGGAATAGGTATCTAACAAATTATGGTTCGCTTTTCAACATGTTATCCCCAGAAAAACCACAAAAATCTTATTTATATGCACATATATACATGTGGATTTAAGGTAAACATAGGTGTAGATCTTCAAGTGGGAGAACCTTCGTTCCCCCTAGAACTATTTATCTTTGGACTGCATACGGCACTCGGGGCAACGGCTCACGGGACCGGCTTCTTACCGTGCTAATTACGATTATAGCCTAGACCAAGTATATTACGCGCCTGGAAAGACAATGGGCAATTAGTGGACCAGAAGTGAAGAAAGTAGAATATGCTCACCGTTATGAACGCCGAGTTAAAGGATCGTTGGAACGTGTGCGTCATGCCCTCCGTCTGCGATAGCATTATTTGCAGCTGCACGGCCTCGTCCATGCGGTTCTTGAGGAACTCCCAGGTCTGGGTGTGTCCTTGGGAGGTGTCCTGCAGGAAGTAGAGCTCGGTCATCTTCATGATGGTCGCCAGACCCACGCGTCTAGTGTACCAGCCGAACTGCAGAAAGACATAGACTAGAACACACAGATTGAAGATCATGGAGTACTCACGTCCACGGATCGATCCCCGGAGTAGTAGCAGATGTCATCCACTAGGGTGAGCACCTGGGCCAGGGCGGTGGGTGCATGCTGCGGTTGGGCCATCAAAGCCATCGCCTGGGGCCACTGCTGCTTGTAGGGGGTGACCATTTCCAGTCGCTGGCGCACCGCTTGCACCAGAAAATCCAGCGGGTCCTCCACCGCCTGCTTTCCGCCATCTGTCTGTTGCTGCAGGCTCTCCACCAGCTGGGCGTTGCACTTGCCGTTGAAGTGGGAGACCAGGGCGAAGCCACCCTCGGGGAACATGCCGTGCACCACGCTGGGATAGCCACTCTCCTCGGCGCCCAGGACGATGGCCTGGCGCGACCAACCCTGCTGGGGCACATGCTGTAGGGCGGCGTCCAGGATCTTTGCCCTTATGGCATCCACCTTTGCCTGTTTGGCATCATCCTGCTGGCCACTTGAGTCCGATCCTTTTGCTCCCACACCTCCTCCTCCTCCGCCTGCCCCTGACTCTTTTTGCGTGGCCTTTGCAGCCGCCTCGTCGGCCGCATCCCGCTCCCTTTCACGCTGCTCCTCTCGTGCCCGAAAATCGTCCAGGTTTGTGGTCTTTTCATCCTTGGCATAGCTCCTTGCTAGCAGGGAGGTGAATGGTCGGGGCTGCAATGGAGCCAAGCGGGAGCTTTGTGCATCTACAAATAAAGGGAACCCATGTAGTAACCATTTAAGTGTGAGAAAATCATTTATGTTAAACAAAATATTTATCTTGATTGGTTTACCAATACAATGTTATTCTAGCCAATGTTGGTAAAACCTTGATCCTTGGCACTTTGCTAAGTTAAGATAGAACATACTGAGTGCTTTAATATTTTTTAAAAACCCATAAGTGACTCTAAAAACACAGTTAAATATTGCAACCCGGTTTAAATAAGCATATTGTGTTGCAAACCCCGCATCGGTAGCCAGGTAATTAGCACGCCACAACTGGCTCAATTAGCCGATCAATTATCGCCCCATTCAAGAACCTCCAAACCCCAAAGATCAGTATTGGTTTCGTTTTCAGTTGTGTTTACACACAAAGTTTACGTTATCATTTCGCTTTCATTGTGGACAAATTATAAACTAAGAATCCGCTGGAGTGGCGTTTCGACGTAGGCTGGCGGACTGTTCGAGTTTCTCACTGGCAATCAGATACAACGATTGCAGGGTTTCCAGACTGGTGATCGAGCTGGCCAGAACCTCGAGCTTCTCCTGGCGTCCAATGTCCGGCAGAGGGTTGTCCCCGTCGCCGCCGGCCATGCCGCTGTTGGTTATGTTCACGGCCAGCATGTTGAGCTGTCGCTGCATCAGTTCGTCGTCCGAAGCGCTCTGGCCCTTTTCCACACGCTCCTTGTACGCCTTGTAGTGGGCCATCGAGAAGTTGAGCGCTTTGCCCAGGGGATCTAGCAACCTTCTAACGATGTCCGGCAGAGATTGCCAGAATCCGGTGACATCCTTTTTGTCCCTCACCGCAAAGTAACGCAGAATGTTGAGAGCGTGACACAGGCGATCGGCGTGCAGGAGCAGATCGGATTTAACGTCGTGGGGCAGCACACAGACGCACAGCAGCAGCATCTCGCGGAACATCTTTCCGCTATAGACCTCTGGCAAGGGGCCGGATTCGGCAAGGGCCTTGTCCACCAGATCCTTGTACATTCCCCCGAGGTAACCCATCAGTCCGTCGTGCTGCAGCGTCTCCAGCAGATTTTTGAGGATGAGATACTTTCCATGGTCATCGAAGACTAGCACATATTGCCGCAGCACATGCAATCCCAGCTGGCGGAGGGCGACTTGCGGCGAGTAGCCTACAATCTTGCACAGGGCTTCGCAAAAGCGCTTGTGGACATCCAAGTGAAGGGAACTTGAGGGCACCGGATCGACCAGGGTGCTCAAAAGATGCTCCACTAACCGAAGGCCGCAATACTGCAGCGGTGGCTCTTGCTGTTTGAGCAGCACTTCCGCCAGATAGACGATTGATTCGAATAGGAAAAGGGGCGCATATATCCTGGGCGCAGTGGCGGGCAGTTGGTTGCCCACGAAGAGCGAGTGATAGTACATGGCCACCGCATGCAGCGGCAGCTTTTCCTCGATGAGGAAAACATTTCGGCAGCTCATCTCGTAGACACCTTTCGCGGCATCCAGTTTGCGCTGCCACCTGGCGCGCTGCTCCACGAGGTTGAGTAGATAGAAAGGATCACCCAGGCAGTGGCTAACATCCTGGCTCAGGCCCTCTGTCACCTGCTGCACATAGGTGCGTGTGAGGTCCTCCTTGACATGGCTCATTTCGAGCAAAGCCAGCGGACGACCCAGGAGCTGGATGAGAAAGCAAGTGAAGACGTTGCGCCGGTTCAGACCGCAGTCCCTGAAGGTTTGGCTGGGAGATCGCACATCCTGCTGAAGTATTTCGCTGCAGAGCGGCTGGCGGAAAAGGCCCACGGTGATGTAGTGTGCCAGCAGATCCTCCACCTGCTCGTTTTGCTCTATAAGTCGCGCTTGGGCCTCGTCGTAGCCCTCGGAGAGGTAACTAGGAAGGGGCAGCTCCCTCAGTTTGGTCAAAACGCTCTGGAGGCACCACTCCACGGCCTGCGGCTTATCGCGTCCCTGTCGCTGGAGCACCACTTGGAGGGCCCTCAGATAGCCGGCGAACACATTGAGGCTGCTGCTCTCCTCCAGGCGTTCCATCAGTTCCAGCATGAGCTCCTGCAGCGGCGCAAACTTGGCCAGCAGCTTGAGCAGCTCATCCGAGCAGTCGAACAGCTCCGGCTCCTGGGCGTTGACTTCGTCGCAGAGATTTTCGGAGCACACGTCGTGGTAGAGTTGCATGGCTATGTGGGGCAGCAGCCGGGTGTTCCTTTCCGACTCCTGGGCACTTTGGAACAACATCCGCACGCCGTCGTAGGCTTTTTCCAGCAGCAGCTGCTTGATGAGCTGCAGTAAATTGGACGCTTCCACTGCATCCGCCATATCCACCTCCATATCCTGATCCTGCATTTTGTTTGACTCTTTTTGTTTATATGTATTACCACTTGGTATTTGTAATTTTGTTGGAAATTGTCGAGAATTTTAAGGCCGCCGGCATTTGGCAGTCAGCATTTTACACTTCCCCTCTCACTCACTCCCTCTCGCCCCCTTTCTTTCGCTCGCACGCACTACTCGATCGAACAGCTGTTTCTCGGGTTGCGGGCTCTCTTTCGTAATGAGCGCACGCTAAAAATTCGCGGCTAACAGGTGAATTGGGGAATTCCCACTACTTACTAAGTGGCATCAGGAGCTTCTGCAGGCGGATTAGCTTGTGCAAACAGCGCACATTTGCCATTTTAGCGGCTTGAAATCGTTCGGGCAATTGAAATCGGTTTGTTTGGCATTCACCAGGAAGCCAACGCGGATAGTGTTGGAAAGCGGCGTGCTCATTTAGTATTACTGCGTTTTTTATATTCTCTGTAGTGTTTTAGTATGTAATCAGTGTTGCCCAAATGTCGCTAAAAACATTGCTGAATTTTATGTAACTGCTGTACCTGTCGATTACAATTAACATTCAAATAATAATTAATAGCAAAAATTTAAAAAAAAATGTCAATAATTTTTTAGGATTCAGTCAAAGAATATTACATTGAGTAATATTTTATTTTACAAAAAAGCTGAGTATATCTACCTTCAGCTTCGTGGTGCCTAAGCCCCAATCGGGAAAAAAGTTATTCAAAATATTATTTTAAAAAAAACTGCCAATAAATTATTTGTCTAAAAACTTGTTAAACATAGTCAAAATGAAAATGCTCTGTAAATTACACATAAGTACCTTTGATAATAACCAAATTTGGCTACAAAATAGCCAATTTGTCAATCTAAACCGTTTACTGTGAAAGAATACTTCACTGTTAACTCTGAATGCTAAAAATCCCTGCTGTTAACTAAAAACGCCACATAGAGGAGTATAGGTCCATTTAAAACTTTGGCCACACTGAGTCAAAACTGAAACTGAAACTGGCAGGTTGCGGATCGTATGTTTATTAATTTTTAAACAAAATTCGCAGTCTAACTTCGCTTTGCCGTAATTAGTTAGTTATAAATTAAAAGCGCGCCGGTCCGAACTGCTTTTCTCTCACAATTTTGTATTTGACTCCCCGAATACACAAAATCCAAATGTTGAGAGAAAAGTGAAACGATAAGCGAATATACACAAATATGCTGGCGAATTCAGTGGAAAAGTGCTTAATTCACAAATAAAACAGCAATATTAAAGCCATAGTGTCGGAGGAAAATCCAACTGCTGTCTGTGCGGCGGCGGGTTCAGTGAATTTTTCGTTTTCCGACCCGCGACGAGGGTGGAAAACGCGTGAAAAACCGAAACGAAAATCCTGCGTGTGTGTGCAATTGAAGTGAATCAAAATCGCAAAAAATTAAAGAGTTTGCCAAAAAATTAAAAAGGTCGAAACGAAGAAAATGGGCAAAAAGGCGGAATGCCCGACGGTCGATTTTTAGTGCGGGAGCAGCTCAAGAATCCAGTTTCGGGCTGCAAGGCGTGTCAGGATTGAAATCGAACTACCACCATAACCAGCAGCAACAACGACAACAACGAAAACAGCCGCTCTGAGCCAATTTGGTTGGCCCTTTTCCTGGTTATTCCTGTTTGACTTCATTTTCACCCAGCTTTCGCCGCAGAATTTTGCATTTCGGAAGACAAAATGTCGACGCGCTCGCAATTAACCAAGGACCTCAACGGTGAGTAATGCGCGCTCTCTCCCCTTTCTTCCACTCTCTCTCGTCTCCTTTCTCTGCCCGCCCCTCCCCCTATCACCGTTCTTTGTTTTGGAAAACGCATGAACAAAAACAAATGCAGATGCATCCCCTCCAAAACGTAGACGTTTTGTTTTCGTTCTTTTCTTTTCTGTTTGGGCCGCCGGCTTCCGTTTTCTTCAATGCGACACCCCAAATACACCCACACGAACACTGTGACACTGCCACCCACCCGCTGGGGAATCCACTCCCCACCCACCCACAGTTTTGAAAGCACTTGAGGGAGTTTTCAAAAACATCCAAACATTTGTAAGTCAAAATGTTCTTTGATGAAATCTATCATATAAAACACAAAATCCTAATCCAAAATTGCTAAATAATTAAAATATAAAAACAACAATTTCTAAAATTCAGCCTCATTTACTTACAAATTAAAATCGATTAATGATTATTTTCATTAAAAGTGACTCAAATTGAAATTAAAATTAACTAAAATTACTAACTAAACTTTTCGCAATGTAATTGGGGACTGACGCGAAAGTTCGTCTGTGTATTCCGTGATATTTAGTTAAGCCGAAAGGAAACACAAAGTCAGAAAGTGTAAGCCCCACCAGACCATGAGCGATAATATAAAATAAAAATAATAAGCAAGTACATATGTATGTACATTCGGTAAACAACAGTGAGCCAGCGAGGCTTTCCATATAAATGACATTTAAAGCTCGATATTGATATCAGTGAATGGTGGAGCAATGTCAACAAACAAACTCATTGTTCAATTGCAGCATTATTTCCCCATAAACAAGCCACATGGTTACCAATTAAAGTTCTGGTTCCTACGGAAATCGGTTTAAGCGTGTCCCGTTGGCATCTCCGCGGTGCGTGAAAACCGATCTGACAAAAGGCGAATCACTCAGCGCAGGCATGTAGACCGCGTAATGCCCCATGACAGGTGTCTGGCCCCCTAGCCCATCAACAATGGTTCCGATTTGGGGGGAAGCACGGAAAGAGTTACTGCTCCACTTACTTTGTTTAGAGCGCAGTATTAAATGAAAATTCAATCAAAAAAATTTAAAATAAGAAAATTTTTTAAAGGTCGGATTTTGTATATTAATATATTATTGCTAACATAAAAAAAAACAGGCCCATCAACTTAAAAAAATGTAAAAATAATAATAAAAAAAAATCAAACAAAATTATATTGTCTTAGATGTAAAGATAGGTTTACAAAAAAATACAACCAAATTGAGAAAACGATTTATCATCTACCACCTTAAAAGTTAATTTTCAACAGTATTGTTTGAAAAAAGAACATAATCTACATCAAAGTTGTAGAATTTATTTACATCTTTAAATAGGGGCTTTAACCAATTCGAAACTTTTCTAAATATTTTTGAGATGTCAAATGCCAAAAAGGGACTATTTGCAAGTTTTAAGACAACTGTGACTGACTATGTTCGACTTAACTACATATTTTTTGTTTATACACAATCCTATACTGCCTAGGCCGACCCACAGTAGCTGTCCCGAGGAATTTAACCCCAACTCGTCGGAGTGATGAGTAATTTAATTTGAGTGCAGTGACAGCAGCTTTTCCACCAGTCCAGTTCCTGCCTGCTGCTCCGAGCTCTGAGCTCCGTGAGTTCCGTTCGCGACTCCTGTTCCCAGGTGTGGGCGTTGACACCTTTGTTGTTTGTTTGCTCACTACCTGGTTTGTTTGTGCTATCCGTCTGCATAGCCACCCATTCCAAACCTCTTGTTTTAACTATTTCTACTTCAGAACACTTCCCGTCTGCCAATTAACGTACTCTGATTAATTGGGCGGGGACTTGCATAATCGCCCCAATGCCCATTATTTATTTAACATTTTAATGTCTACGGCAGCTGTAACTGCATGGGAATCCGACGGAATCTGGAGCACCCGCTCCAGATTCAGCATTGACAATTTTATTTATGATGCTCCGGATCCAGTTGGCTGTCCAAAATAAACTCGAATCCGCTCGGAGGCGGTGGCTGCACCCGAAATCCAACTGGGCAATTATAAATGGGCGCGATCGGCAATTCGGTCCCACCTCTCTTGTTGTCGTTTGGCTCGACTTCATTTCTAGTTTATTTAATTTAACTTTTAATGTTTGGACACCTGTCGCCAGCAATGGTTCACACAAATCATCGACCGTCGGTTACCATTAGTCTTACGGGGAACATAGACAAAATCCCTTTCTGATACGAAAATACGATAAGATTGGTACATAAAACACCGAAAGCTTAAAAAATTCCATACAATAAATTTATGTTTAGGGTGTATGGTAAATATTTGTATCTACGAATCAACTTAGACGAAACTTTATATATATTAACTGATACGAATGCAACTTTACCAGAAAATGGTAAAATTGATGAAGGTTGATACATACAATTTAAAGAATTTTGGTTCTTATAAAATTTAGACATGCAATAATTTTTTCTGTTATTTTCTTTTACCTGTTCATTAATGAAAGAATTTTTTCATTTTAAATAAAATTATGCAAAATTAATGTAATGACTAGATTTGAAATCTTATGCAAAAAAAAAACTATGAACGGTGGAAATTTGAGTTTTAAGAAAATAATATTATTAAACTCATGGGTGTTTTGCATATTCGAAATATTTATCAAGATTAAATCCAACATAAGTACATATTTTAACGAAGTAGTCATTTGCGTTCTCAAGTCCTAACATTATATCTTAGTTTGCTTGGTTCTTAAACCACTTGTACTTCTAAAAAAAAAGTCTAGTAACTATGAAGTTAGTTGACAAGTAAACCACGGATCGAAAATCTTAAGTAGTGTTATGCACAACACTTTATTCAATAAAAAATCAAGAATTAGGAATAGAATAGAAAAGAAAAACTATTTGATATAACGCAAACGGATTTGTATTCAGTTTTACTAAAAAAAACTGTTATTTTTAGGAAAACTTTTTATAGGATATAGTGGTCTGATTTGATGGTTTTCTTATGTTTTTATCCTTCTGCACCACAAAAATCGATAAACATACATTATCTGTTAAATTTTATCTCCGAAATGGCCCAAATGCAGGCGACTATATTATATAAAATTTGTGTTATAAAGAATATTTGACAACCGTTTTCTTTATATAGAAATAGTTAACACAAGAATCACCCTGTAAAGCTATCAGTGTATTCTTTAGTTATTGTTTTTTTTTCGTTTTGCTCAAATTCCAACGCTCTCTCACTTCTGATAGCTAGGCTATTGGCTGATAAGACGATCGTGGCTATCAGCGCTCAGTTCTGAAATCGCCGTGCTCGGGGCCTGGCCTGTCTTTCAAAATTGGCAGCGGACTACCAAGGCTAATTGCCTGGCTTGCAAATCCGCTAGGAACGCGACGCCCGCCTTCCGACTTATAAGCATATAAATATATAAATATATCATCACTTCGTTGCCCGATAAGTGTAATTACGATTGTGTCAGTATTATTGTGCACCGCTAGTGCTCCAGTGGGTAAAATGTACACGTCTGAGATGATGAGTCACATTGACCAGTATCTGCGGCGCATCATCGAGCTGCAGATACGCGACTTGGTCAAGCAGAATCGCGACACAGGTGAGCAATAGAAGATCACCTCGGATCGGTGGGACTGAAATGGGTGGTGCTACAATTTCATCTGTTAACCGAGTGCGTCATGCGGCCATACGCTGCACCACTCCCCAACTTCTGGTAGTCAGAGTTGGCGTTTTAGCTATATATCTGGCAATGTTCTGACAAAAAATTCTTTTCGAATTTGTTACAAACATTTACTACTAGAAGATAACCAAAAAATGTATTTTACCATCCTTTAAATCTTTTTCACTACTTACTTTCATAAAAAACCTTTTCATCTCCTAAGTCTATAAAACTAAAAAAAATTTAAAAGCTAAAAAAAATCGGAAACAAGAATTTAAGGTTGTGACTAAAGTTAAAAGTTGTACATGAACTTGAGTTCAAGATAATCCTAATTTTTATTAAGACTTATTTTTAAAAATCGTCAAGTCTATTTAAATGCAAATATTTAATGTAATAAACTGACATTTACCGACAACGACTGCAAATATTATTTGTAACATATTTATCCCTTTTGTTAGGTTAGCTTATTTTTGTTGACCTAACCGCTCTGCTTATGGCAGATTTGTGTTCCCTTTTGAAAAGCCGACAGCACTGGCTGGCGGCGATCGATCTCTGGTTTTGGATTTTTAGTCAGGTGTGATTGCTCAGACCATTTCACACTTCATAATGTGGTCGTACTCCCCCCGTGGGCCCACTCCTCTGACCACACCTTGCTCAACGGAAATTGACTTGTTGAAAGTTTATTGATGGTTTCTCGTCGCTGTTGTTGTTCTGGCTGTTGCGGCCAACTCTCTTTGTTTGTTTACTTGTTTGCTTTGCCTTCCTTCAAAGGCTTATCTCAAACGGTTCGACTGCATTTACTCATCCAGAAGACAATTCTCCGTACGAGTACATTGTAAAGCCCCGAAGGCCCCCACCGTTGTTTTGCAATCCCCCACAAGCACGCACTAAATATGCAATAAGGCAAATAAACAAATGAAATGAGTGTGCGTAGTGAGACTTCCTCGTGATCTACTTAAACCATAAATGGAAATATTTTGATGACTTGGAGTGGGGTGCAAATCATTAAATTGTTGAGAGAATTCCGAAACGGGCATGGCAACTGGCAACTTACTTTAAAATGTGTGGTACAACACTTATTTGCTGTTTTTATTACGAATAAATGGAATTAACATGAGACTTTAGTAATATAAAAATCCCTTTTCTCAAATAAACTTCTTAAGCAATGTTCTTAATAAAATTAACAGATAAACTGTATTACGTAAATATTTAAACTTTTAAAATCCAAAATTAATTTACAATTGCTTATAAGCATGTTAAATTTTCTGCACCGTTAATAAGGCTATGCAAAATTTTGTAAATATATTCAAATTTGCTTTAAGG